GCGAGCGCCGAGGGCGGCTCGGTCTGCGCCTGACCCGCGAGGGCTTCGCCCCCCAGCGTCGCTGGGTCCTGGCTGGCCTCTGGGAGCGTGGGGCGGGCCCAGAGGGCCTGCCTGCGGCCTGGGGGCCGGAGAGCGGGGCCTTGCCGAGCTGTGGACGCCCGCAGCTGTGTGGACGGCAGGTGTCCGGCAGGCAGAGGCTCACCTTGGGCAGCGAGGCGCGGGACCCCGAGCTCTGGGTGGTCATGGTGAGCACGGTGGTGATGCCCAGGCCCACGCGGGCCGGCGCCGCGTCCATGTTGATCCAGAAGGAGATCCAGGAGAGGATGACGATGAGCAGGCTGGGGATGTACATCTGGATCAGGTAGTAGCCCATCTGCCGCTCCAGGTGGAAGCGGGCCTCGATGCAGGTGAATTTTCCTGCAAGGTGGGGCGGTGTTGGCTGGGCGCCGGCGCGGAGCCGTGGGCAGAGGGCAGCAGCCTCCCGCTCCGCCGGGCCTCGGCAGGCTCCGAGGCACCAGGGCGGGGGTCTTCTGCACCCCATTCACGCCCAGGGGTGCTGGCCCAGCCTCCACGGGGACCACCCCGCCCTGCCGCTCCTGCCCGGGCCGAGCCCCGCCCGTCTGCCTTCCTCACCTCCCTCTCCACCCTTCGCCTGACCCAGATGCCCGTGCGCCCCAGTGCGGGCTGCGCCCCCACCTCAGCCCTGCCCAGGGCAAGCCCCGCGGCGCCCACCTGTGTTGTAGTGCTTGGTGCAGTATCTCAAGTCCTTCTCCTCCTTCAGGATGAACTGGGGCAGCGTCAGCCCATCGGCCACCTGCACGGCCCCCTGCTCCTGCCACTCGAAGATGAGGTCGTTCATGGTGTAGCCGACTGGGGGCAGAGCAGGGGTCAGGGCGGCGGCTGCCTGGGCAGGGGCTGCCTGTCAGCCCCCCTGCCCCTGCAGCGTGGCACGGTGGGGCCCGATGGAGGCCAGGACCAGTGAGTGATACGGGGCAGTGCCCCCAGGCTCCCCTGGGAGGCGGCCCCTCTGCCTGCCTTCAGCGTCAGGAGTCTGGCCTGCGTCACCTCCAGCCGGCTGCTGAGTGGCCCTGCGCACCCCTGCTCCCCACAGGCCGGCGCCATCCCTCCCCTCTCCAGCAGAGGGCGCCCCAGCCCTGCCCAGCGCCATCCCTGCGCCGGTTCTCCGCCTCCCTCTGGAGTCCACTTTCTGCGGAAGGCCACAGTCCGCCTTAAGTCTCCCTGCCCCGGCAGCCCTTGGTGTGGAGCTGGACAGGGCCCTCAGCGCTTTCTCCCGCCTGGGTGCGGCCCAGGGCACGGGCCAGCATCCCACAGCTGGGCCTCAGCCACACGGGGCGAGGGAAGTGTGTGGGGCGGCTCCTGGAAGTCACGTCCCGGGAACAGCCCTGGATTGCCGGTTCCCCTGGGAAGGGGCGCGTGCGAGGGACTCACAGCTCTCCAGCTGCATGATGCACGTCTGCACGTCCATGGGGAAGTTCTTCAGGTCCATGGGGCAGGCAAGGGTCAGGGTGATCCTGGAAGACAAGGGGTGCAGTGGTGTTGGCCCACAGCCATTCTCGTTACCCTGGGAAACCAGCTAGCTAGGACAGGTCGAGGGGTGGGGGCTGCCCCTAGCGAAGGCTTCTCAGGTCCCAGGTATGTGAGCCCAGACAGGTGCAGTCCCCAGAGCCACAGCTGGGCTCCTAGGGGACTTGCCTAGAGGAGGTTGCCTGGGCCCGCGTGCCCCTCCCTGCTCTTGGGGGCCCTCAGGGAGTGTGGAGACAGTGCCGCAGCCTCGCAGCCCCGGTGGCATCCCTTCTCCACTGGGCACTGCGTGTCTGGACACAGCTGGCTGCATCTGTGGGTTCCCACTGAGTCAGCTGGGAGGCGGTGGAGCCCCAGGTTCCTGGGTGAACTTTCTTCGGGGTGGTTTCCCCTTCCCTGTGCAAAGCAGCAGTCTCAGAAGGGAGTGGGTCCCCTGCACAGAATGGAGGTGCCCTCCCTGGGAAGGTGTTTAGCGCCTGGGGGCCCGAGCGCACCAGGCGGCCCTCCTGGCAGCCGGGAAAGCACCCGGGGAGGGCAGGAGGCTCCCGGAGGGCCTGGCGGCGGGCGGGGGCTCGGCCAGGCTCCGCCCCCTGCCCGAGGCCGAGCGCCTCGCTGGCTTTCAGCACCGCGCCGCGGACAGCTCCAAAGGGGCGGGGCTCGGCCGCGGGACTTCCCCAGCCAAGGAGGCCGTGCGGGGCGGGGCGGGGTTCAGCCGGGACCGGCCCTGACTGGGGGGACCCGGCGGGGCACAGGCCGGGGCACGGGGCAGGGGAGGGGCGGGGCCGAGAGGGGGTGGGAAGGGGCAGGGCGCAGGGGAGGGGAGAGGGCCTTCAGGAAAGGGAGTGGGGGCAGGGCAGGAAGAGTGAGGGGGCGGAGGAAAGCCAGGGCGGAGGAGGGGTGCAGCTGAATCGGAAGATGAAGGCTGCCAGGCGGGCGCTGACACTCCGTGGGCACACGACCTTGGCTCGCCCTCTGGTGTCCTGTCCAGCCTGCGCTGGGCCTGCGGGACTCCCCCCGCCGCACTGCCTGAGTGGCCCCCTTTCCTGGGGCCTGGGTGCTGCTCTCCAGCTGAGGGCCCACCCGGCGCAGCCTCTCCCTGGGCTGGGCCAGTGGACCCCGTCCTGAGGGAGTGAGCTCTGGCCCGCGCTCGGGGCGGCAGGCGCCCCCAGACGGGTGCAGGCTCCCAGCCGCTGGGCGCGTGGGCGCGACGTGAGCTCTGGATCCTCACCCTCTACGCGACATGGGGGTTACGCGCCTGGCCCGCTGGGTCCGGGCGGGCTAGGGGTCTGTGGAGGGGCCCGGTGCCTGCCGGCGGGCGGAGGCCATCTCTGTGCCTGGAGAGAAGAGCTGGCGTGTGTCGGGGCGTGGGGCCGGAGGAGGAGCCCGGGAGCGGCCGGTCTCCAACCCTGGGCAGGGAGACCACCAGGCCTGAGGAGAGGCGCTGAGGGTCAGCGGCGGCAGTGCCCTTCGGGTCGAGGCTGACCTGTGGCTTGCTAAAGAGGCCGCTAACAGGGCAGGCACCCCCAGGGGCGTGCGCACAGCATGGGCACAGCCCGTGGCTGGGGTTCAGGGGCCCCACGTCAGCTCCAGATCTTCGGGTCGCGTCCCGGCAGCGCAGCCAAGCGTCCAGCCTGGGGTGCACCCTTTCTGGGGTCTGGTGTGACCCCTTCTCCGAGGTGCTTCCTTGGTGGCCTGGTCACAGTGGTCCCATGCCCTGGGAGCTCCGGGGTGGCGATCCTAAGCGTGGGGGCAGTCTACAGAGATGGGTCTGGGGGTTGTCTGTGGGGTCCTCGGGCCCATCTCCGTCTCCTGGTCTGGCAGGCAAAGGCCGGTGGGCGGGCGTCGGATGGGGACGGGGCAGGGCAGGTGGGCAGGGTGTCGGCCCAGGTGGGAGGGG